CGGGTCCCGCGGCTCTTAAAGGGCCCGCGCCGCCCCAGTGCCCGCGGGGGGCGAGGACGGCCGGGCAGGACCACCGCCCCGCGCCAGGGCCTCGGGGATGCCTTTGTGGACCCGGTTAGCGGCGAAGGGTCGGCTGGGGGCACGGGGGGGCGGTACGTGAAGGAGAGCTGGGGTCACACGGGGGGCGCCGACAGGGTGGACAGTAGAGGCAGTGGGGTGCAGAGGGCAGCACCCTCAGTCTCTGCACACAGCGCCCCCCACACCCATCTCAGCCCTGGTCCAAGGCGAGGCCTCGCCCTACCCCAAAGGAAGGGCTTGGAACAGCAGGACGGGAGTCGTCCTGGGGGAGGGTGCAGGCGGCGCCAAGGTTAAACCGGCCCAGACCACTGCAGAAAGCCGTTCCTCCCGACTCAGGCCTCCGCGGGGCCGGACACGGACACGGACACCCACCCGAGGGCGTCCTCCTCCACCCTCCGCACGCTCCGGCCCCAGCGTGCGCCCAGGGTCCCCGGACACACGCTTGGCCCCCGCTTGCCCCGCGCTCTTGGCGTCTTCAAGGAGTAAGTAGGTTAGCCCGCCCGCCTCGGTGGAAGCTCACACCTGTCAACCCAGCCGAGGAAGGGCAGGGAGGCTGCCCGGCCGCGGGCATGGCTGCCGCCACCCCGGCTGGTCGGGGCTGCGGCAGGGAGAGGTTACTAGCAGTCAAACCTTCCTCCCTTCCCCCGCCTCTCAGTTCAGAAGTCCAGGATAGGCCCCACTCTGTAAGTGTGAGGTGTGCACGGATGGGCTTGACATTCAGCCTTTCCCTCTTCTCTTCTTCCTGCTCCCCTGTCAGGGCTTCCCTCAGAAGAACCCTCCTACTCTTCAGATGGGCCCTCCATCATCAAGTTAACCTCGGACACTCCACTGTAGACTCCCAGAGAGCTCAGCTGTTGCTCTGTGTGTGTGTGTGTGTGTGTGTGTGTGTGTGTGTGCGCGCATGCACGTGCCAGTACTGGAGCTTGAACTCAGGGCCTGGGTGCTATTCCTTAGCTTTTTCACTCAAAGCTAGTGCTCTCCTACCTGAGCTATAGCTCCACTTCTGGCTTTTTAGTGGTTCATTAGAGATATTGAGTCTCACAACTGGCTTCAAACTGCAATTCTTAAATCTCAGCCTCGTGAGTCACTAGGATTACATGTATGAGTGACTAGTACCCAGCAAGTTGCATTTATTAAGCAACTACTATACAGCACATATTTTCTCATTTAATCATCTTTTTTTTTTGTCGGTTGTGGGGCTTGAACTCTGGGCCTGGGTGCTGTCCCTGAGCTCTTCAGCTCAAGGCGAGCGCTCTACCACTTGAACCACAGCGCCACTTCCGGTTTTCTGGTGGTTAATTGGAGATGAGTCTCACAGACTTACCTGCCTGGGTGAACTTTGAACCATGTTCCTCAGATCTCACCCACTTTTTTTAGCCCTCTCCTCTCCTACGGCTAGCCCCATTAACAGATCCTGTTTTATGTTACTGTCTCTTTTTAAGTGCATATTAATTGTACCAAGGGGTTTCACTATGTATACATACATACATTCTTTTGATCAGAATAACCCTTTCTGTTGCTTTCTTCATTACCTCATTTTAATAAAGCAGATCTGTTTTCCCCTCCCAAATACATCTCTCATTCTAGAACACACAACCTTTCGAACCTGACAGAGGTGCTCTGAGCAGGCCCTCCCCATTTGGAGGACACTCCCCGCTTCTCTCCTGCACCCTCCTCTAATCCCTGAGAATACACTTTCAACTCTACAGATAGACTCATGAGCAGTAGTTGTCAAATTTTAGTGCTTTACTGAATCTTCTAGAGGCTTTGCTAAAACTCAGAGTACTGGGCTCCACTCCCAGGGCTTCAAGTTCAATATTTGTCATGGTTCCAAAGGCTCTACATCTTAGATGAGTTCTGGGGGAATCAAGTGTGGTGCCAAAGGCTCTACATCTCCAATGGGTTCTGGGGGTTGCTGATGCTGCTAATCTGGGGACCACACTTAAGAGAAGTATTGCTAAAAAGAACCTTCTGTACTCAGTCTAGACTTTACTATCTCCAGAATATCCCTTTCCCATAGACATGCCCTAATGTCCAGACAATCCCCTATTTCCTTAAATAAACCTCCTTCCGTCCTCTAAGGGGCAAGTTTCCTAAGCCCAGACATTCAAGGGTTAATTATAATTGGCTTAAGAGGAAAATTCTTATCTCAGATTAGTGTTAGGAGCTAATCTAACAGACAACATGCTGCTCTGGGTAGGGAGTTGAGAGAGAAGCAACTTGTAAGGATCCTGTGATGGCAGGTGGGAAAGAGAATGTGGTCAGGCCTCATGAGACCTGCAAAGGGCTTCAACCCGGGACGTGGTGACTGGCCCCATTCTGCTCCCACCTCGCCAGGTCCTTCATTTGCTATGCCTCCTTTGCATACTGTGACTGTCCCATCTCTGGGCATCATGATTTTAGTGTTTGTCAATGAGAAGACCTCTGCTGGCCACTTGGGGAAGTGCAGCTCAGAAGCAAGAAGGTTGGATGAATAAAAGAACTGCCAGCTTCTAGCACACTTGCTAAACTACAGCAGCAAAGTCTTAAATTTCTGGGTCTAAGGAACTTTCCCTGGAAGGAGGCTCTAGTTGGGGCAAGGGGGACCGAGGTAGGAGCTTGAATCTAAGGGGATGAAAGGTTTATTTGGGGAAATGGGGAAGAGCACCTGAGCATTTGGGAAGTCCTTCCCTGACCAAGAAATCTAAACTAGTTCACCATCGTCTCTACCTTTCCCTCTCAGTCCTAATTTCCGGTTCATGCAAAGGTTGTTCCCGGATTCCCAGTCTTGAGCAAAAATTCATTTAAGTGCCCATGTTCACATAATAATCTAATATCAATTAAACAATTTATTCTCTGGAACTGGGGACAAGCCCAGTGGTAGAGCACATATCTAACATGCACAAGGCCATTTAGTACCAAGAAAAATGTATTCCCCTTCATCATGGCTACTTCTCACCATAAACCAACTTTCAGATGCACTTATCACTTCTCTTGGTTATAGACTTCCACCAAAAGAAAAAAAAAAGCAGCTCTGACTCCTGGTCTCCCTGTCTTCTCTCCCCGACTACCAATGCCTTTTAGAATAACAGAGATCTTCTTACTTTTCAGCCACAATGTCAATTGTTTTCAATTTCTGTAACACAGCCTGTGAAAAATGGGGCACTGCAATTTTTTTCTTTATTCATCTTGTTACAAGGAAATTTCTTCTAGATGAAGCCTTCCCTGATTAGTTCATTGTCCAGGTTAATTTTTTTTTGGGGGGTGGGTGGTGCTGGGGATTAAATCTAGGGCCTCATGCATACAAAGCATACTGTATCACTGAGCTTTATTTCTTCATTTCTAGCTTCTATTTTGACTTTTGAGCTTCTAAATGTACTCAAGATTTTTGTTGTTTTTCTGATACCAGGGCTTAAACTCAGGATCTGGACATGATCCTTAGTTTTTTGCTCAAGGCTGGTATTATGCCATTTGAGCTATAACTCTACTTCCAGCTCTTTGGAGGTTAACTGGATAATCTCATGAACGTTTCCTGCTAGCTTTCAAGGGTGAGCCTCAGATCTCAGCCTTCTGAGCAGCTAGGATTACAGGTGTGAACCACCAGCACCCAGGCAATAAACTTTTTATCATTCTAATTCCTAGCCTCTCCATGCCCTTGTACTGTCTCTCTCCAGGACAGTTCTTGGATTTTATTCTTTATCCTTACCAAGTCTGAATGATAGTTAACATTTTTATTTGCTAATTCTGCCTATAATAGGCACACATCATTTTTCTAATAATTTTTTTTCTTCTTCAGTGCTAGGGATCAGATCCATGGCCTGACACATGCTAGTCAAGTGCTCTACAACTAAGCTACATTCCCAACACTAAATTAGATCTTTTTTGTTGTTGTCAGTCATGGGGCTTGAACTCTGGGCCTGGGTGCTGTCCCTGAGCTCTTCAGCTCAAGGCGAGCGCTCTACCACTTGAGCCACAGCACCACTTCCGATTTTCTGGTGGTTAATTGGAGATGAGTCTCATGGGCTTTGCTGCCCAAGATGGCTTTAAACTGTGATCCTCAGATCTCAGCCTCCTGTGTAGCTAGGATTACAGGCGTTGAGCCACCAGCACTCTGTGAGGTCCTTTTTCAGAAATCCTATTTGAACAGGTTTCTGTCCATTAAGATCCCAGAAAATATTTCCTTAACTTCTCCAGACTAGCAGAAACCATTAAGAATGGAGCAAGGTGCTGAGAAAACATTGTACAGGTCTAAAGAATGGTTATTTTGAAAGGTTTCAGTCTGTATGTTGGCGGAGAGGTTGGATGTGTGCCAGCACCAAGGCTTGTACACTAGCTCTATTTTTCCCTCATGGATGATGTTCTAGCCATGACTCCATTGCAGCATTCTGCCTAATGGGAGATAGAGTCTCTTACAGACTTTTTTTGTGGGTCGTAGACCTTCAACTCTGGGCCTGGGCACTGTCCCTGAAGTCTTCAGCTCAAGGCAAGTGCTCTACCACTTGAGCCACAATGCCACTTCTGGTTTTCTGGTGATTAATTGGAGAAAATCTCAAGGACTTTTCTGCCCAGGCTCAACCTCCTGAGTAGTTAGGATTACAAGCATGAGCCAGGAGCACCTGGCTCTTAGGGACTTTTCTGCTTCAGCTGTCTTTCAACCTTGATTTTTAGACCTCAGTCCTCCTAAAAGCTACGGTTATGGGTGTGTCACCAGCACTAACTCAAGGTTTCAATCTTTTTTAAAACAGAACAGATCCTTTCTCCAGGAAAATGTACAATAATTTTCAGACAATTTTTTTTTTGTCAGTTGTAGAGCTTGAACTCTGGGCCTGGGCGCTGTCCCTCACCTCTTCAGCTCAAGGCAAGCAGCGCTCTACCACTTGAGCCACAGTACCACTTCCAGTTTTCTGGTGGTTAATTGGAGATAAGTCTCACGGACTTTCCTGCCTGGGCTTTGAACCGTGATCCTCAGATCTCAGCCTCCTGAGTAGCTAAGATTACAGGTGTGAGCCACTGGCACCCAGCTAGGACACACTATTTTCTAACTTAATTCTTCGGCTCTCTGAGTACCTGACATTCCCTGGAAGACATCTCAACATACCCTCCATCCAGTTTCTTTTGCAGACCCATAGTTTCACACAAAAGGTACAGGGTTCTATCAGAACTAAGGGCACAGCTTCTATTGAGTCCCATTATTTACTCATAACTAAGGGCCTAGAAGAGCTTCTGAACAAATTATAAAAATTGTACTCATGCTGGGCACTGGTGGCTCACTGAGGATCACAGTTCAAAGTCAGCCCAGGCAGGAAAGACCATGAGACTCTTATCGCTAATAAACCACCAGAAAACCGGAAGTGGCGTTGTGGTTCAAGTGGTAGAGTGCTAGCCTTGATCTGAAGAGCTGAGGGTCAGCACCCAGGCCCAGAGTTGAAGCCCCAGGACTGACCAAAAAAAAAAAAAGTACTCATTACTTGACTTATGGAATTGTAGAACACCTCATTAGCAATAAAGTTATATAAATAAAAATAGAGAAGATCCAGTAAATGAGTAGCACGTGGCAGTCTAACTACCTCAGTCGTTAGAAAGGTAAGAGGGCTAATTATCCATCCTGCTCGGCAGCCTTGTTACCTCCCTGCCTCTAAACTTAAGGAAGAAACAGCCCAACTGATTCTTTTATTACCAAAAACAATAGTCACACATATACTCGCTTCCAATCCTGTCCCTGAGGATAGTCACAAACGTCCAAGAACCCTTAAGAGAGAAATGGCTGCATGATTCTCAATGCCTGTGCTGGCGGGGAGGAAAGTGTCCTTGCAGGACGAATCATGCATCATCCTTAAACGTACAGACCCCCCCAAAGAAGAGAATGGATGCAAGTTGATATAGGACTTAATTGTTGTCTAGCATGTCAAGGGGATTATGGGTAAGAACACACACATTCACAATCCCCTCAAAGAATCTGAATGCTTCAGGATCTCCACAAAAATGCAGTGTGGAAAAAAAGCAGGGGAAGGAACCCCTCAGAGTTTTCAGACGGATGCAAGCCTGGGCCGGGGGGACCACGCTGCTCTCAGCACCTCTTCTAGAGTCATCATTTGGCAAGGGCAGTTCCCCCAGGGGCACTGCCTTCTGCCTGGCTCAAACCCCAAGGCCTGGGGTAGGAACAACTGGGCTCCGCAGCCTTCACAAGGTCTGGAGCTCCGGCTCCTCAGGTATTCCTTGAAGGGTCTCCAGGACGCTTTCTGCAGGTGGCTCAGAGGCGGGTGGGGGCTCTCCCGGGGCTTCAGACAGCACATAGTAGACAATCTCTCGCTGGCCTTGGGCACTGGTCTGATTCACCATGTGAATGACAGGGCTGGGGTTGTCTTGAGAGGTTGAGTGGGCTGTCCCCTTGACACCCCCATTCTCCTCTTCCGTCTCTTCCTTAAGTCCTGACTCCCCTAGCACGGTCTCTAGAATGATGCCCTGCAGGCTGCTCTCATTCAGTGTCTCTTCTAGGTCTGATTCCTCTTGGGGCTGGCGCAGCAGCTGCTGCGTCAGCTCCACACTCTCATAGCGAACCAGCTGCAGCCTCATGTAGCCATCTTCATGTTCCTTGTATCTGGTAGAGGGGAAGCACACGGCAGTAAATGGGTAGAAAGATGCAGAAATCAGCTAGAGATGAGTGAGTCAAGAGACAAAAATGGCCAGGTGCCAGTGTTCACACTGGTCATCATAGCTATTTATGAGGCTGAGATCTGAGGATTGAGGTTTGAAGCAAGTTTGGGTAGGAAAGCTCACAACTTTTTTTTTTTGTTGGTCATGGGGCTTGAACTCTGGGCCTTGGCGCTGTCCCTGCGCTCAAGCTGAGCGCTCTACTGCTTGAGCCACAGAGCCACTTCTGGTTTTCTAGTTTATTGGAGATAAGATTTCTGGTTTAGGGCTGGGAAGATGGTTCAGTGGTAGAGTGCTTTGCATGCCTGAGGCCCTGGGTTCGATTCCTCAGCGCCACATAAGCAAAAAGAGTGGTGCTGTGGCTCAAGTGGTAGAGTGCTAGCCTTGAGCTGAAGAGCTGAGGCCCAGCGCCTAGGCCCAGAGTTCAGGCCCCACAACCGGACCCAAAAAAAAAAAAAAAGAGTTCTGGTTTATTGGAGGTAAGAGTCTCAAGGACTTACCTGCCTGGGCTGGCTTTGAACAGTGATCCTCAGATCTCAGCCTCCTGAGTAGCTAGGATTACAGGCTTGAGCCACTGGCGCCTGGCAGGAGCTGTGACGTAAGTGGTAGAGCGCTAGCATTGAGCAAAAAAGCTAAGGGACAATCCCCAGGCCCTGACTTCAAGCCCTATACTGACACCAATTAAAAAAAAAGAAGCTGAGCACAGTGGCTCATGCCTGTAATCCTAGCTACTCAGGAGGCTGAGATCTGAGGGTCGAGGTTCAAAGCCAGCCCGGGCAGGAAACTCCATGAGACCCTTATCTCCAATAAACCACTAGAAAACTGAAAGTGACACTATGGCTCAAGCGGAAGAGCACCCGCCTTGAGCTGAAGAGCTGAGGGACAGCGCCTAAGCCCCATGACTGACAAAAAAAGAGAGAGATGGACATTGGGTGGCTTACACTTGTAATCCTAGTTATTCAGGAGGCTGAGATCTAAAGATTGCAATTTGAAGCCAGCCCAGGCAGAAAAGTGCGTGAGGTTTCAATAAATTACTCAGGAAAAGCCAGGAGTGGTGTTGTGACTCAAGTGGTAGAACACTAGCCTTGAGCAAAAGAATCTCAGGGCAGGCCCAGAATTCAAGCCCCAGAACTAGCAAAAGAGAGAGAGAAAAAGAGAGATAAATATGGTAGATGGTAAAAGTCCTGGAATTCAATATAAGATGACTGAAGCAAAAAAAGGTCTCTACTGGAGAATATAGAAAGCAAAAGGGAAGAGCATTACTGAAAATGGAAAAGTCTGTGCAGAAACCCAACCTAGAAGAGAGAAAGACTTTAAGGGAAGGCCATAGAACTGAGGGTCAGGATCTCTGGGGCTCTAGTTTCTAGCTCCAGCTACAAAACTTTTGCCACCAACTTACTGGATCTACATGTGGCTTGGATTAAAAAAATAAAAATAAAAATAATCTTTGCCCCATCATTATTCTCTGGTTGAGCCACAATAGAGATGGTGAGCAGCAAGCTATGAAAAAATTCAAGGTTCTTTACTAATTGAAAAGGCAAGAGAAAAGCCTGAAGCTGTGGCTTACACATGTAATCCTAGCTACTTAGAAGGCTGAGATCTGAGGATTGTATGACTTAAAGTCAGCCTCGGCGGAAGCCTGTGAGACTATCTCCAATTAAACAGGAAAAAAAACTAAACTGGAGGTGTGGCTCAAGTAGCAGAGGACCAGCTGTGAGCAGAAAAAACTGAGTAAGAGTCTAAGGCTCTCAGTGAAACCTCCAGTTCCGGCCCTCCCCACCAAAAAGGCATGAGAAGAATGCGTGTGAATCTAGGGGGGTGTAAACTGAGAGACATACCGAAAACGGGGGTGCCCCGAGGGCCACTTGAACTGGTGCTTCTTGCGAAGGTGCACAGTGAGGTTGTTGCCGCGTGTGAAGCATTTGTCACACACGTGACATTTGTACCTTGGTTCTGAGTCTCCCTGGGGAGGGGAGGGAGAAGTGAGGGTGGTGCTTCTCCCCAGCGCCCCCACGCGCCCTCCAGCCCCACTCACTTCATGCACTTTGCGAAAATGGGACTTGATAGAGCTGAGCGAGCGAGCACTGAAATCGCAATTCTCAAAGTCACATCTGTAGGCCGACTCCTTGCTGTGGGTGTCCAGATGCTTCCGGAGGTCAATCAGATTCTTGCAGCTGTGGGAAGAGGTCAGGAGGAGTGGAGGGCATGGGGACCCTGGAACAGGGGCCTTGTTTTCTGGCCCCAGCATCCCTTACCTGTAGTCACAACAATCACATTTAAAGGGCCGGTCCTCACTGTGCCGGAAGCGCATGTGGTTGCGGAGGGAGGACGGCAGTGGGCAGGTCATGTCACACAGAGGGCACTTGTAGTGGTTCACTACGAGTGGAGAGAAGGCTGTGACCTCAGGACTCGCTCAGAACCTTGCGGGGTGGGCAGGGAGGCTGGGAAGGCTACTAACCGTGGTTGCGCATGTGGTCCCGTAGCAGCCGCTCGGTGGCAAATCTCTTTGAACAGTGGGAGCACTGGAAACGCTGCTCTGGGGCAGGGTGGGTGGGAGGAAAGGGGGACTGTAGAGACAGTGGACAAACACGCGAAGACAGGGAACCACCCCAGGCAGAAGGGAACCACCCCAGGACCAAAGGGAGCTTAGGAAGCTATGGATGGGATTTGGAGTCAAGAATCTGAATTAAAAGCCCGACTTGATCACTTACTATCTGTGTGATCTCAGGTAAGTGATTTAACCTCTCTGAGCCTCAGTTTCCTCATCTGCAAAAAGGGGGATAAGAAGCCTACCTCATGGGGTTGTTGTGAGAATTTCAAGGTAACTGATTTAGCACACAAGCAGTGCTGAACAGCAATGTCTGTGAATAGGCTGGGAAGTGCCTGAGCCCAAAAGCGGGAGGGAGCAAAGTGGCCACCCCCCTGGAACATGCCCCCAACCTCACTCCAGCAGGATACCTGCACCCAGCCCTTCCCTCCACAAGCTTACGATCCAATGAGGTCTGGCGACGGATGTGATCTAGGAACTTGGTGTTGTTGGCAAACATGCCCCCGCAAGTGGGGCAGGCGACCACCTTCTCCTGGGTGTGGCTGCGCAGGTGCTCGCGGAGCTTACAGCGGTCCTTGAAGGTGCAGGTACAGTCTGGGGAGGAAGGCCTGGTCAGACCCCAGCCCAAACCCTGTGCAGGCTCTGGAACCTGGGTCAGACAACAGCCAACCTTGTCCTGTCCTTCAGGACTGGTCCCATCCCTTCCCCCGCCTTCTCACCCCCACACTATCAACCAGACAGCAGCCAGGGAAGGGCCCTACCTTTCCAGCCACACAGCACCACATGGTTGTCCTTGCCGACCGCCTGGTATTCACAGCACAGGCTGTGTGCCTCCACGTGCCGGTAGAACCACTCGGGGTTGTCGAAGGAGCTCTGTGCCAGGGCAACTTGGGGTGAGGACTGAGGGTGTGAGGAGGGACTCATCCCTATGTGCCCAAAGGGGGGTCTCAGTTCTCTCCCAAATTAACGTGGTGGGGATGGGGAAGTTTCAGGAAAGGAGTTAACTAAGAAACGGAAGGTGCCTTAAGATTCCCAGTTTCCGTCCAACCCCTATTTCTGGCATTATCTGCTGACCTCACAATGTTCCCACAGACACAGGAAGTGGTCAGGGATGTCAGGGATGATGTTCCGGCTCTGGAAGTCCAGGATGCAGGGGCTGAGGTCAGCCTGGCTCTGCAGGGCCTGCAGCCCCCACTGTTTCAGCTTGGTGTGGTAGCAGTGGAAGTAGACATGGCGGATGAGGTCAGCAGAACTGTCCATAGAGCAAAAGCCACATTCCTGCCACAGGCAGGAGAATTCTTCTTCTGTAGAAAGAAGTTTAGAAGGAAGAATGTGATACTTCCCAAGGCTCAGCTCATCTTCCATTTGAGGGATTTAACAGCACTCGACCAATTTACCCACAGTTCATTTAGCAAATACCAGGATTTAATGACCACCTATTGTGTATCAGGTATGGGATATAACTAAATAGTTCCAACCTTTGCCCTCACATCACTTCCAGTCAGGAAAAAAGTACATTCATCAAATACATCTGTAAATAAGAAACTCCAACTAGCACTAAGTGCCATGGGGATGGAGGGGAGACACAGTATCATAAACTAAACACAAGTAATTTGATGTGGACAAAGATGATTTAGACAAAGGTATTTTGCAAGTGGTTCCACATCATCAAGACCTCAAGGAAGAGTAGAGACGTGGTCTAAGCTGAGGTAACAATAGTGAGTGTAAGGCCTTTGCCAGAGACCCAGAAATGGCAGGTGTCCCTCGCATGCACAACCTCTGTTCAGTTTCTGCAGTAACCTGAGGAAGAGGCAGCCTCTCAACCTCAGAAATCTGCAGGATTCCTTTCTCTACTGCTGTCCATCAGCCTTCTTCCAGCAAGGACCTGCCAGCTATTGCAACCTACTTCCTACTTCTCTAGCATCTCTAAGCACCAGCTTTCAATATTTCACAGGAATCTGCTTGTTAGTAGTGAGAGGGGGGGGGGGAACGGCACAGGCTGGGAAGGTGGCTCAGTGGTAGAGCGCTTGTCTTGCATGCAGAGCGGGTTCAATTCCTCAGCACCACATCAGCAGAAAAAAGCCAGAAGTGGTGCTGTGGCTCCAGCGGTAGAGTGCTAGGCTTAAGCTGAAGAGCTCAGGGACAGCGCCCAGGCCTTGAGTTCAAGCCCCACAACCAACAAACAAATAAATAAAATAAAAAGTAGTGTGGTAGAGCTGGGTACCAGTGGCTATCTTGTGTAATCCTAGCTACTCCAGAGGCTGAGATCTGAGGATCACAGTTTAAAGCCAGCCAGGGCAGGAAAAGTCCATGAGACTCATTTCCAGAAAACAGGAAGTGGCACTGTAGCTCAACTGGTAGGGAGTTCACCTTTTTTTTTGTCAGTTGTGGGGCCTGAACTCTGGGCCTGGGTGCTGTCCCTCAGCTCTTCAGCTCAAGGCTAGTGCTCTACCACTTGAGTCACAGCACCTACTTCCAGCTTTTTCTGCTTATGTGGTGCTGATAAATCAAACCCAGGGCCTCTGCATGCAAGACAAGCGCTCTACCACTGAGCCACCTTCCCAGCTCCAGGGTGCTCACCTTGAGCTCAAGACTCAGGGACAGGGCCCAGGCCCAGAGTTCAAACACCACAACCGATTTAAAAACAAAAAACAAACAAACAAAAAAAACCAGTGTGGCAAATAAATTAATCCCCAAATGTCATTTTTTTCACTTTTGTATAAACATTATCTGGCTTTGAAACTGTCGGTTACAAGTTCATAGTCACTGAACTAAAAATTTGGGTGTTGGAAAGACAACTGCCCCCATTTTTCTTTTTCCTTTTGCCAGTCCTGGGGCTTGCACTCAGGGCCTGGGCAGTGTCCCTGAGCTTCTTTTTGTTTGTTTTATGTTGGTTGTGAGCCCTGAAGTCTGGGCCTTGTTGCTGTCCCTCAGCTCTTCAGCTCATGGCTAGCGCTCTACCACTTGAGCCACAGCACCACTTGTGGCTTTTTCTGCTTATGTGGTGCTGAGGAATTGAACCCAGGGCCTCATGTATGCAAGGCAAGCACTCTACCACTGAGCCACCTTCCCAGCCCTGTCCCTGAGCTTCTTTTGCTCATGGCTAGCACTCTACCACTGGAGCCACAGCACCACTTCCAGCTTTTTCTGTGGTACTGAAGAATCAAACCCAGGACTTGATGCATGCTAGGCAAGCACTACTACTAAGCCACATTACCATCCTCTACCCCCATTTTTCTGTAGACTTTTATGTGTGCCAGTAGTGGGGCTTAAACTCAGGGGCTTGCGTGTCTGCTTGGCTACTTTGCTTAAGAGCCATACCTTCACTTCTGGATTTTTGCTAATTAGAGGTAAGTCTCTTGGATTTATTTTGGCTGGCTCAGAACCACAACACTTACATCACAGCTTCCTGAGAAGCTAGGATTCCAGCTATAAGCCACTAGTGCCTGGCACTAGTGGCTGACTTGGTAGAATAATTTTTTTCTTTTTTTTTGTCAGTAGTGGGGCTTGAACTCTGGGCCTGGGTGCTGTCCCTCAGCTCTTCAGCTCAAGGCTAGCGCTTGAGACACAGCATCACTTCCAGTTTTCCTAGTGGTTTACTGGAGATAAGAGTCTCATGGACTTTCCTTCCTGGGCTGGCTTTGAACTGCAATCCTCAGATCTCAGCCTCCTGGATAGCTAGGATTATAGGCGTGAGCCCCCAGTGCCCGGCATTAGAATAATTTTTTTAAACTGTGTTGTAACAGATTCATTAGTAAGTGGTGAGGTCTATTGAGTAGACTTCACCAATTCCTTTAAAAAAAAGCGGGGGTGTCTGGGAAGGTAGCTCAGTGGTAGAGCGCTTGCCTTGCATGCATGAGGCTCTGGGTTCAATTCCTCAGCACCACATAAGCAGAAAAAGCTGGAAGTGGCGCTGTGGCTCAAGGGGTACAGTGCTAGCCTTGAGCTGAAGAGCTGAGGGACAACGCTCAAGCCCAGAGTTCAGGTCCCACAACTGACAAAAAAAAAGTAATAAAACAGAATAATGAAGTGAGGCACAACCCAAGTGGCAGAGCCCTGCCTAGTAAACACAAGGTTCTGAGCTCAGCACACACAAAAATTACAAGGTAAGCCCGTGCCAGTGGCTCACACCTGTAATCCTAGCAACTCAGGAGGCTGAGATCTGAGGATTGTGGTTCAAAGCCAGCCCAGGAAGGAAAGTCCATGAGATTCTTATCTCCAATAAACCACTCAAGAACTGGAAGTGGCGCTGTGGCTCAAGTGGTAGTGCACTCACCTTGAGCCGAAGAGCACTAGGACAGCGCCCAAGCCCAGAGTTCAAACCCCACTACTGACCAAAAAGATAAATAAAATAAAAAGTAATGTCTTTTTTTTTTTTTTTTAAATGCCAGTCCTGGGGCTTAACCTCAGGGCCTGGGTACTGTCCCTGAGCCTCTTTGTGCTCAAGACTTGCGCTCTACCACTTGAGCCACAGCACCACTTTCTGGCTTTTTCTGCTTATGTGGTACTGAGGAATTGAACCCAGGGCTTCATGCAAGCACTCTACCACTAGGCCACATTCCCAACCCAGTAATTGTCTTTTGTTGGCCATTATTCTTAATTCTCTACAAATGAGTTTACAATGTTTTGTATTTTCCTTTTTTTTGTGCAGGTCCTAGGACTTAAAATCAGAATCTAGGCACTGTCCATGAGCTTTTTTGCTCAAGGTTAGCACTCTACCACTAGAGCCACAGCTCCACTTCCTGATTTTTTTTTTTGATTGTGAATAGGAGCTTGGCCTCAAACTGCAATCCTTAGATCTCAGCCTCCGGAGTAGTTAAGATTACAGGCACGTGTCTCCAGCACCCAGATGACTTTACAGTGTTTGCTAAACAAAGCAAAATGAGGAAAATAAACTATTGCGACACTAGCTGGCTGCTTTTTTCCTCTAGGTAAAGGGAAGTCAGGTTTTTCCACCTGCCCTTGAACTCTTTCCCCTTGCTGCGTCCTTTTCCCTTACCAAGTAAGTCACTGTCATCCTCCTCTCCCTCCTCCTCTCTGGAACCATGCATGTGCTGCTGCAGGTGCTGAGTGACGTGCTCAAAGAACTCCTCCATGGCTGAGCACACAAAGGAACAGGACCCCCACTCACACTGGAGCCCCAGGTTCTCCTTCCGGGGTCCTTTTCCAGGGGGTGACATGGCCTTTACCCTAAGCAGAATGGGAAGAAATCCACAGCTGCAAGGGTTCCACGCCCTGACCACTAGGGGCAAGCAGCTGGGCGGGCAGGCTGGGGGGAGGAGGAGTGGTGGTTTGCCAGCGACCCTGTGTCTTCTTCAGTAAGAATGGAGCAGTGGCTCCTTACCCCCTTGGGAGCTGTCTGGTGTTGCTGGGAAGAGAAAAGAAAAATATGAGTAAACACATGCCAGACAATGAGCTGTACACTTTAACATTTTCCCATGAAGCTTCCTTATAATCTGCCAAGAAACATTTATTCCTAAGGGACAAAGACCATTGTTCAGGTCCAAAGAGATGACTCTGGATCAGGATCAAAGTTAAAAATCAAACTTAGGAAGTGGCGCTGTAGCTCAAGTGGTAGAGCGCTCGCCTTGAGCTGAAGAGCTGAGGGACAGCGCCCAGGCCCAGAGTTCAAGCCCCACGACCGACAAAAAAAAAAAAAATCAAACTTCACCTTCTACCACAAATGAGCAAGCACAAGTATGATCTTGGCCAAAAACATTAGTTTTGCTCTAAATGTTTATTTATTTGTCAGTCATGGGGCTTGAACTCTGGGCCTGTGCACTGTCCCTCAGCTCTTCAGCTCAAGGCTAGCACTCTACCACTTGAGCCAACTTTCAGTTTTCTGGTGGTTTATTGGAAATAAGAGTCTCATGGACTTTCCTGCTCAAGACTTTCCTGAACAGTGATCCTCAGATCTCAGCCTTCTGAGTAGTTAGGATTACAGGCGTGAGCCACTGGCACCCAGCTAGCTGTAAACTTTTACACTTAGTATATTGTTAGGTACCATATTAATCATTCTATTCATTGGGTCATTTAATTGGCAACACTCCTCTCTGATGTAGACACTATCTTTAGCCTCATTTATTGATAAGGATCTGGGACTAGGAGAGGTGAACTGTGTGCCCAAGTCCACATACTAGCTGACTCCAAAGTTCATATTCTACTTGATGCAACCTAGACATATGGGGACTCAGAAGCTCCCTAATCATTGAATTGTCATTAGGTCTCATGTCAGACTTTCAAAGTGCCACACAATCCTTGCTTGGCCTATCAAATCCTCGATTTCAACGTGTTTAAAATGTAGATTCCATTTGAATATAAAAGGCACATGTCTTTAATTATTTTGCACCTTGGGTGTCTATACAGTGCTGTGTACACTTAAGAATGTAATAAATAGCCAAGCACTAATGGCTCACATCTACAATCTTAGTTACTCAGATTTTGCTTTTTTTTTTGTCGGTCATGGGGCTTGAACTCTGGGCCTGGGTGCTGTCCCTTAGCTCTTCAGTTCAAGGAGAGCACTCTACCACTTGAGCCACAGTGCCACTTCCGGTTTTCTGATAGTTTATTGGAGATAGGAGTCTCATGGACTTTCCTTGGCCGGGCTGGCTTTGAACCTCAATCCTCAGATCTCAGCCTCCTCAGTAGCTAGAATTACAGGTGTGGCTATAGTTACTCAGATCTTAAGATTGGGGTTCAGACCCAGCCTGAGTTTAAGAGAAAAGTCTGTCTCTTCCAAAATAACCAGCAAAAAAAAAAAAAAAAAGGACTGAAGTACTGCTCGAGTGGTAGAGTACCACAAAGAAACCAAGTGCAAAGCCAAGTTCAAACCCCAGTATGGGAAAAAAAGTGGATTCGCTCTACTAACTAGCTATTATATACCAAGCATTATTCTAGGTATTTTACAAATATAAAAACTGCACCCTGCTGAAGTATAATTATTATCCAGCTTTACAGAAAAGGAAAGAAATGGGCCTGGGTAGGTTAAGGAATTTACTCGTCATTAAGTTGGAAGTGATGGAGTATACACAGAGCCAAGGAGGTTGGCTTTACTACCTGGTACACATTTTATTAAGTAGTCATTTTGTCAGCTTTCCACAATGAAGCTGCCAGCTCTAGAAAGCCTGGCCTGTATCCTATTTAGTTCTATCTGCAAAACCAAACTGAAGGTTATTATGTTTTCTGTTGTTTTGTTTTCATTTGGTGCTTGACACTGGGCTTGAATTTTGGGCCTCACATTCTCACTTGGCCTTTTTCACCCAAGGTTCTACCATTGGAGCCCCAACTCCACTTCTGGCTTTTAGCTGGTTAGTTGGAGATAACAGTCTGACAGACTTTCCTGCCTGGGCTGGCTTCAAACTGGGATCCTCAGATCTTAGCCCCTGGTTTTTTTTTGGTCCGTCGTGGGGCTTGAACTCTGGGCTTGGGCGCTGTCCCTGCACTCTTCAGCTCAAGATGAGCACTCTACCGCTTGGGCCAATGAGCCACTTCCAGTTTTCTAGTAGTTAACTGAAGATAAGAATCTCATGGACTTTCCTGCCCAGGCTGGCTTTAAACCGTGATCCTCAGATCTCAGCTTCCTGAGTAGCTAGGATTACAGGTGAGCCACCAGCGCCCGGCAGATCTTAGCCTCTTGAGCAACTAGGATTGCAGATGTAAGCTATCAGTGCCCAGCTGTTTTATTTCTTGAGACTGGGTTATGCTTTGTAGCGTTTACCTTATACTCACAATCTGCCTCGGCATCCCAAGCACTGGATCTACAGGCAAATATTTCTTGTTTTTCAGTGCTGAGAACCAAACCCAGGGCCTCTTACAGAATAGGCAGGTGCTCCACAACGGAGCAGAGCGACATCCTGCCCCCGCCCCCAGCCCTCTTGCCAACTTCTTTTCATGTTTAAGAAAGCCCATAAATAACTACCTTGTACAAATCATACAGCTTCTCTGAACTTTTGTGAATTGTAAAATAGGACACTAATATGGGTGTTGGCTTCAACAGATCTAATTACAAAGCTCCCACATTTACTAACACGATCTTAGGCGAAATTACTTGGGCCTGTTTCCCATGGAACACAGGAAGACTTAGACCCATTTCACTGACTTAACTACTTCAGACATCGGAAGTGTTAGACCTAAGTATCTCCTCTTCGGAAGGTAAGATGATCTGTGAGATTTAAGCACCAATTCTGAAAGTTTAAAAAAAAAGCCAACAAAGAAAGAATACCTTCACATTAACAACCTAGCGAATTCTTTATCATTCCTCTTCGGGGCTCACAGTAAAAGCGCCAGAAACAAATGCATTCCTCAAGAGAGTACACAGCGTGTGGAAGGGCACGCAGTGAACCCTGAATGGAACCCCGGGAGGGGGAGGGGGCCCACGTCCAAGCCCTCCCTCAAGGGTTCACAACGTGACTGAAAAGAGAAACGACGGTGACGTGGGAAGACCTCGATCAAAACAAAGCGCCTCCAGCCAGCCCCAGGCCCTGGGTTCAAACCCCAGCACCACCACACACAACAAAGCCCGAGAGAGATCAGACAACAGAAATCCCCGTGGGCAGCCACGTCGGAAGGCTCGCCCTCGGCCCGGGCCCTGCCTCGGAGCCCGGAGAAATGAACTCCCAGGCCTGGGACGGTCCCGGAGGGCGAAGCCCGGCCGGCTTCCCGGCTTCCTCCCCGGCGCGGCCTGGCTGTGAACGCGCCCCGGCCACCGCGAGGGCCCCCGAGGAGCAAGGAGGGGCAGTCGAGTCAGGAAGGGGACCGCAGCCAAGGCCCGCGCGGCGGAGTTGCAACACCAAACTCGGGAAGAGTCTGGCTCCCCGCGTGCCCCCGCAGCGAGCACCAACTTACCCCGCGTCAGCGCCCGGGAGCCCCGCTCTCCACCCACCCCAGACCTTCCACCAGAAGGGCGCGTGAGCGACAGTCAGCGACAGCCAATCGCTGCTCCCGATCCGACTGTCAGCCAATGGCAGGTCGCGTCTGGCAGAACCCGTGAGTACCAAAACACGGAAGGGGCGGGAACGGTGGGCGGGGCTCGGCCTGCCCGGCGGGACCTGAGCGGATTCGTAGAAAGGTAGTTCTGGGCGGCCCCGCGGTGCTTCTGGAAGGTGCGCGGACCGGAGGCCCCCGCGTTCCCCTCACTGCGCAGACTCCGCGCGCCGAGCCCAGTGGGCATGCGCAGGGGCGCAGCCGGGCGCCGCGGGGCGACCTCCTGCCCGGCGGCGATCGTTGCGGCGTGGGCACTGCCCGGGAGGACACGCGGGGGCCGCGCCCACCGCTGCGCCTGCTCCGGCCAAGCCGGGGTCCTTACTCCCACCTCTCGACTTAAACACCGGCATTCCCGTGCCTGCTTCCCGAGCCGTGTCCGGCTCGCGTGTGTGCAGGCTCGGTGAACAGCCCGCCACCCACCACCCTGAGGTTCGAAACCCCGCAGCCGTCCCCGACCACTCCACCGTCTCATCCGACGGCGGATCCTACCTTCCGAAAACCCACCCGCCCTCCTCCCCAACCTCGAGGCCCGCCAAGGGTCTCGTAGAAACCCCCGTGCGTCCGGGCGTGGTGACGCACGCCTGTGCCCGTCAGCTGGAAGGTTCGCGAGGGAAACGTCGGAGGCGAGGGCCTTTTGAGGATCCCCAGACGCCCCCGCCCCCTGGGCCGCCCAGCTCCTCCCCGTCGGCGCCTCGAGCCCGCCCGATCGCCGGCTTCCAGCTCCACACGTCTGGCCTTGGACCGCAGTAAGCCGCCGCACAGCCTTTCCGCACCTTGTGGATGCTGTTGGCTCTGTTTCTGTTTTCTGCTGTTGTCTCCGTCTCTCACCTTGAGAGGACCGGTTCCTAACCCTCTTTTCTCAGCAGAGTTCTTTCTCCAGGAAGTCTGCCTTGGTGGTCCTTTTCCGAGTTTTCCAGGACAGCCTTGCTAACTCAATCCCTTAAGCCAATGACTGAAACTCAGTAAGGGTCAAGACGGATGTGGTAAGTGAATTATGTACCTTAGTAACTAATGCTCATTGGAATTGCCTGAGCCCTGTCCCGGAGCTTTTCTTTTGCTCAAGGCTAGCACTCCACCACTTGAGCCACAGCACCACTTCTGGTTTTTTTCTGTTTATGTGATGCTGAGGAATCGAACCCAGGGCTTCATGCATGTTAGGCTACCACTGAGCCACATTCCCAGCCCCGGGATTGATATATTATTGCATTATATTTTTCTGGATCTTTTAACCTAAAAATAAATCTATATAATTTATGTAATCAGAAAACATGTTCAAGATAATAAAAATGAATTTTAATATGCCATTGGCAATAGAAAAGTTGTGCCTGATGCTGGTGGCTAACACTTGTAATCCTAGCTACCCAGAAGTCAGAGACCTGGAGTATTTAGTTTCAAAGCCAGCTTATGGCAGAAAAGTCTTCAAGACTCTGATTTCCAATTAGCCAGCAAAATGCTGGACTCAGAGGTATGGTTCCTGTGGTAAAGCACCAGCCGTGATTGAGAAAGTCCAGTCAGAACGAGACCCTGAGTTCAAACTCCCTAACCAGAAGAAAGACAGGGGAAAGGAAGGAATGGAGGGAGGGAAAGAGGGAAAAGAACATTACCTGGTATAGTGGCACTCACCTGTAATCACAGCACTGGGAAGGCTGAGTCTGGAGGATCTCTAGTTCAAGGCCAGCCTGGGTTATGTACCAAGACCCTGTCTTTGAAACATGTGAACAAATATAATATGTATCTACATTCTTCATAAGTAATAAAACATCCTTTATTCAGGAGTGCATAGTTGTTTTTTTCTTTTGAAATTGATAGGAAAGTTTATTAGGAAAGGAGAACTGTGTGTGTGTGTGTGTGTGTGTGTTGTATACACACTCGTGGGGCTTGAATTCAGGGCCTGGGCACTTTGAGCTTTTGTGCAGCTCAAAGCGAGCTCTACTCTGCCACTTGAACCCCAGCCCTACTTCTATTTAGCTTTTTGGTGGTTAACTGAAAGTAAGAGTCTCACCGATTTTCCTGCCCAGGCTACTTTAGAACCACAATCCTCAGATCTCAGCTTCCTGAGTAACTAGGATGACAAACATAAGCCACCAATGCCCAGCAGAATACACTTGTAGCAGATTGGTTGTCTCTAGAGTAAAAATTACAATGCTTTTTACTCAGGCACAAGTTTTTTATTGAAGTGCAAGAAGTTTGGAGCAGTAAGTCTTTCCATTACCTGGACCAACCACAGAGCAGTCACTGTCTTGAATATAAAGAAATACTTCATGAAATGTTGATCTCATTTTAATTCAGATGACTATTAGCGTTAACAAATTCCATAATAAGTTCAGTCACAGAGCTGTGTGAATCCCAATGTAGATTTCAGAGTAAAAAATTCCAGTATTGCTGAGGGATCTGTCTCCAGCATTTAAGGCAGCATCTTGCTGTCTAGAATAGTTTACTTCCATCTCAGTCTGCTTCTATTGAAAACAAGCCACAATTTTGGCTGGATAATGCAGACATACTCTGAGATTTGTTCTCTAAAAGCTGCCATACACAAAAAAGGTATAATTTGTTCTCATTAAAAGCTGTAGCTCACCAGGCGCCAGTGACTCATGCTTGTACTCCTAGCTACTCAGGAGGCTGAGATCTGAAGATTATGGTTTGAAGCCAGCCTGGGCTGAAAAGTCAGAAGTGGAGATGTGACTCCAGTGATGGTGTTAGACTTAAAAAAAAAAAAAAAAAATCTCAGGGACAGCACTCAGAAGCCTCAGAATTGGCATTTAAAAAAAAAAAAAAGGCTGGCACTGGCTCAGGCCTACAATCCTACCAACTCAGGAGGCTGAGATCTGAGGATCACAGTTTGAAGCCAGCCCCGGTAGAAAAGTCTGTGAGACTTTTTTTTTTTTGGGTCCTGTCGTGGGGCCTGAACTCTGGGCCTGGGCGCTGTCCCTCAGCTCTTCAGCTCAAGGCTAGCACTCTACTACTTGAGCCACAGCGCCACTTCTGGCTTTTTTTTCTTTTTGCTTATGTGGTGCTGAGGAATCCAACCCAGGGCCTCAGGCACGCAAGGCAAGCGCTCTACCACTGAGCACCTTCCCAGCCCAGTCTGTGAGACTCTTATCGCCAATTAACTACCCCAAAGCTAGAAGTGGAGCTGTGGCTCAGAGTGGTAGAGAAGTAGCTTTGAATGAAAAAGTTCAGGGACAGTGCCCAGGCTTTGAGTTCAACTCCCATGACCTCTCCTCCTCCCCCACCCCACCCCCCAAAAAAAAGAAGCTGTGGCTTTTCTTCTAAAAGAATGAAATGGATAAAGCTGGTAAAATTACATTTCTTTCTTTTTCTTTCTCTTGCCACTTTCCATGCACAGGAAATCAAAATTCAAGAGCTCTTGGCTGCTAGGAAACCTCTCTTTCACTGACTTAGAGCCTTTTTTTTGGCTGATACTAGAATTTGAAATCAAAGCTTCACATTTGCTAGGCAAGTGCTCTACCACATAAGTTATGCACCTATCCATTTTTTGTTTTAGTAATTTTTCCACATAAAGTCTCTCCTTTTTTTCCAGAGCCAGCCTCTGACTGAGATCCTTCTACCTTCCTCATGAAAGGGATTATAGAGCTGTACCACCAAGCCCAGCTTAATTAAGATGGGTTCTCCCTAATAAAAATTTTTTATAGTACAGGGCCTTGTGCTTACTAGGCTTGCTTGCTCAGTTGTTGCTCTATTTGAGTCATACCTCCAACTCAAACTTTGGTTGGAAATGGGAGTCTTGAAGATTTTTCTACCCAGGCTAGCTTTGAACCATAGTCCACTAGGTCTCATGAGCCAAATGGTGTCCAGATTCTCCCTTCTTTTTTCCTGGGCTGACCTTGAATAGTGATCCTCTCAATCTCCACCTCCTGAACTCTGACTGCAGTCACAAGCCACCCATGATTGACTGCTGAATTTATTTATTTATTTATTTATTTATTTGGGTCCAGTCGTGGTCCTGAACTCTGGGCCTGGGCGCTGTCCCTCAGCTCTTCAGCTCAAGGCTAGCGCTCTACCACTGAGCCACCTTCCCAGCCCTGAATTTATTTTTTAAATCCCTATTTTTAGCCAGATATGGAGGCTCATGCCTATAATGCCAGCTACTCAGGAAGTACGGGTCAGGAGGACTGTGGTTTAAAGGCAGCCAAAACAAAAAGCTCATAAGACCCCATCTCAACCAATAAAAAGCTGGGTATGCTGGTGCTCACTTGTCATCCCAGTTATATGGGAAGTATAAATAGAAAGATGGAGGTTCAGGCCAACTCAAAGCAAAATGAGACTTCACCCTGTTTGAGAAAGAACAAGAGTAAAAAGGGCCAAAGGCATAACTCAAGAAGTGCTAAGACATCTGCCAAATAAGCACAAGGCTCAAAAGTTCAAATCCCAGTACACCCCCTCCCCCATAACATTCCTATTTTAGAAATGTGAGCAGGCCTATCCTCACTGTAGCAGCATGGAATTCCATTGCTTTCTGAGCAGCTCAGAGACTACATACCATTTCCATTTACATCCACTGAGTCCTAAGCTGCTGTGGAGGAATGGTCTTGGGGTGTTTTGTTTTGTTGTTGTTTGCCAGCACAGGGTCCTCGGACTCGGGGCCTGGCACTCTCATTTGACTTCTTCCACTCTATCATTAGTGCTACCCTTCCACTTCCAGCATTTTGCTATTTGGAGAGAAGAGTCTCTCAGATTGTCTTCCTGCACTGGCTCTGAATCTGTTTTCAGCCTCCTGAGTAGCTAGGATTAAAGGTGTGAGTAGTCACTGGTGCCCAACAACAACAACAAAAGATGGAGGAGTGTGTATCCAAACTGGGCTTGAACTCAAGGCCTGAGCACTGTCCCTTAGCTTTTTCACTCAAGGCCACAGCTCCATTTGTGGCTTTTTGATGATCACTTGGAGACCAGAGTCTCAGAATTTAATTAGGCTGGGTTTGAACTGTGATCCTCTCCTCCGGAGTAACTAGTGTTACAGACATGAGCCACCGGGTACCAGATAAACTTATTATGATAAAACATTTTAACACTTCCCTTCTTCAATTGGTCTCTTCAGAGGCAACAGTTAACACCTACTCAGCACTGCCTATCGGGTAGAATTCTAAGTACTTTATAAATTTGTTTCTCACCCACAACACAATGATAGCTGCTATTATCACAGCCCGCCTCCTTCCTCCCCCAACCTTGCTTTTCCTTTTTCAGTACTTGGGGATAGAACCCGGAGCCTTGCATGTGCTAGACGAGCATTCTACCCCGAGCTTTACCTCCGGTCCCTGTCCCTATTTTACAGATGAGAAAACCGAGCCCCTTTACATAACCTGCCCAGGTCATGCAGGTAATTCTTGGGAGCTGAGACTCCAATCCAGACCGTCCAGTTGCAGAGTCCATGCTCTGGGCTGCATGGTGTCCTGAAGGGACAGCCAGGCAAGCGGGGGTGAAGAGACATGAACTTCCGTGTTTCAGGTTTTGTTTGGTTGTTCTTACCCATCCTCGTCCCGTGGGAGCATGGCCCACCTCCCTAGCTGGGTCCCTGTCTCTCATCTCCCACTCTATCCACACTACAGCCTCGCTGCTTACACGTAAGCCTTGCAAAGGATAAGCAGTTGTCCAATTTATAAACTCCAATTTCACTTTAATTTAATAAATTAAATTCCAAACCATCACACAGCAATGGACATCATCAGCCCCGGCCCTCAGAGGCGCAGCCTTGCTCCTCTCCCTCCCCTCAGAGCCACATCAAGTCCCTCGTGCCATCTTTTCAGGGCAGGCTTCCTTACAAGCTCCTGGCTCCCCTCCTCACTGAGCCACTGCTCGTGGAGAAGGCATCGAGTACAAAATGGTAATAAAGGGGGACGGAGGGATGAGGAGCAGTAGGGAGGCAGGAAGGTGGGGAGTACCTGCCCCCCCATCCCGGGCACTGGCCCGACTTCCTATGGGTCACTGAGGTCCTCGGAGGCAGACAGTGGTGCTGAGTGGTCTGAGAGGGGACCGCCTCCTGGGAATTCCTGCTCTTCAGGGACAGAGAAAAGAAGGGTCTCCTAGGAGAGACACTCTCTGCCATCTGTTTGCTGAGAGCCCTAGACCACACATATAAATAGAAAAGAGAATAAATAAGGGAGAAAATTTGCTGAGGAGCTGAGCACCCTGGGACTCCTCTTGGGGCGGGTGTCAGCAGACGGCAGATGCTTCTGAGGAATGCCGGGACAGAGCCCACCTCTCCGCCCAGATGTCAACTCTCTCCTCTGCTTCCAAGAGCCGTCCGTCTCTCAGAACCTTCCCATGGCAAATACCCATCCAGCTGGGCCCCAGCCCAGGGTGCATGGGGCTTCCTAGAACCCTAGGGCTTTCCAGGCCCCCACGTCGGGAATCCAGGAAGGGGTACAGAGGAAGGATGGAGGGAATGGTCTGACAGGTCTCGTGCCCTCTCGGAGCTCTGGAGGTGAGGAGGACCTCAGAGCTGGGGGCTGGGGTTGCCATTGGCCTTGGGTTTGGACTTGAAGGAAAAACGCTTGATAAGGCGGCGAGAAAAGCTGCCAGCCTTCTTGCGGACGCTGGGTGTGGCCGTGGTGTTGGAGAGGTCGTCGTGTGATTGGCTCAGTCCAGCTTCCTTCTGTCGAGGCCTCCGGCGGAAGATGAGTTTAGTGCCACTGCGCAGGAAACTCACTGCGGAGAAGAGGGGGAGATGAGGCAGAGGGAGGAGCATGGGGGTGCGTGAGGGATGGAGAGAGGACAAAGGATGGAGGGATAGAAGAGGAAGAAGAGAAACAGGCCCCTGACCTAAAGATGCATTTTCTCAGGAAAGAAAGAAAAACCGAAGCTGTATTCGTTGGTCCTAGGGAAGAAGGGGTATGCTTGTGGGGTTCTATGTGCACCTCTTAACTCTGCCCCATCAAGGACTGTCATGGAAGGAAGGACAGGATCTGCTGCTTTTCGAGGACAACTAAGGCAGGGCCTCTTTCCTCTGGAAAGACAAAGACTAAGGTGTCTCCCAAAGCCTATAAATCACGAAGGAAAAGGTGGGTGTGAACAGGAAGCCATGAGTCTGGAAACTTCAAAGACATGAGTTTGGGGCCAAGAGAAGAAAGAAGATGCTTACACAGCAGGGTTTGGATTTAAGAATCTCATTATTCCAAGAAGCAATGCAGGCTCAAGTCATAAATAGAATTCTTGGTTGACAGGCTTATTGGTTAGGGAGTGAAGATGTACAGGGATCAACTCTTATCTTCTGAACTTAGAACTACTCCAGCGGTCCACAGCTGGATCACTGCCAGTGGGATAATACTAAGGTTGACTCAGGCAGTAATTTTTAATACTCATGGGGGCAGGAGTACAGAGTAGAAGGGGAGAAATTTGAAAGAAGAAAAAAAAATACCCAAGAGGGAAAGAAGACAGGAGTCATTGGCTTAGGATTAAAGAAACACAGAGATAAAGGGGACCAACACGGCACCCCTTCCTCTACCTACGCCTGTCAGCTCCAGATCCAGGCCAGAGCTGAGGAACAGAGTGCTCCTCTGAACTGTACTTGGATGAACTTTAGGGGAAGGCAGATTAGCTAGCCTCCCAGTCGCCAAGTGTCTAGCAGGACCCAGATGGCAATACTGGGTATTAAAGAAGGAGGACCTGCCAGTTTCTCCCCACCTTTGTGATCCTTGAGGCTGCGGGTCTCCAGGGCACCAGTAGACCCTGTTTCTGATTCAACATCATCCACGGATGGCCTTTCAGAAATGTCTGAACGCGTTGTCTCATCTGCTTCCTGGACACTTGTGGGACTGGAGAGGGCGTCTAGGGGTCCTGGGGACATGGCTGGAGGGTCTGAGGGAGGTGAGGAGGGGCCTCCGCTGGAGCCTGCATCGTCCTGCATCGAGGCTTCCAACGATGCTGCATAGCCCAGGGATAGTGCCAGCTCGTCCTGAGCAACGGGCACCTGGCAGGAGGGATGGATTTTAATGCGCAGGAGTGACCCATTAGGGCCTTCTCCCCATCCTGGCTCCTCTTCCCAGAGCCCTGTTACCTTGGAAACACCAGAGATGATGAGAGTGCTGCGCTTGGTGGGCGTCTTCTTGGCTGCCCGCCCACTGGGCTCAGTCAGCTGGCGAATCGCTGTCTCTGCTACTGGGTCCAAGCCATTGGAAAGGTGGCTCTCCCCTGCTCGGGGAACAGAGGATGGAGAACCTGTCTTCTCTGCAACTCCTTGGATGCAAATTCCTCCTACCCCACTCCAAGTAGATTTTGAATATAGGGCACTAGTGCCTACCAACAACTCACACCTCCCATGCCCCACTCACGGCTGCTGCTGTGGGAGGCACTTCTGGGGCCGCTGCTCTCACTCAGCACAGTTGTCATCTTCTCAGTCACCTCCACCTTGGACGGGGAGCGGGAGGGGGAGTCTGGTGGGTCGGGGAGGGTCAGTGAGCTGGAGGTGCTTCAGTGTGGTCCCCACCCCTACTATTCTTGTTAAAATGCAGATTTTGCTTGACTCAGAGGGCAAGGATGATTAATCACAAGCGTGGTTACTTGTTTTGAGTTGCTGGGGTCGGGGGCATAAAGATAACCACAGGAGCCAATAGGAGTGTGGGGAGCTGTCATGGGGCTCACTTGAAAGTGTGGGGAGATGCCATAAAAATATGGAGAGGAAGCATCCAGAAGCAAGGGAACTGCCATGGTACCCCTAGCAATAGGAGATGGGTGTTGCGGGGTGAGGACTGAGGGTGGGAGATAGACCATGAAGGCCACTAGGTTTGCTGGAGGATTCCACTGAGAACTGGAAGGCTGAAGGCAAAGGAAGGATCAAATAGATTTGGGGCTAGATACAAAGAAGGAAAGAAAAAGATGGCAGGAAACTTGAGCAGGTGGAAGAGCAAGAGTCCAACATGAGGGGCAAGCAGCATCAGAAGGACAGAGCAGTGAGAGGCACCTCGGGTGAAATGGAGGGATAGAAAGGAAAGTCTGGAGAGGCAAAGATCACAAGGAAGAAGTGGCAGGATCTGAAGAACGTTAGGAAACAGGATGCATTGGAATTAGGCTTTCCTTCCCCTTTCCCTGGCAGCCGTGGGTCTATAGTCTAGGACTCTTGGCTAGAGCTGAGCTCCCAGGCTCCTCCTTTTTACCTAATTTGCCATCTACACGGGGCCGGGACTGGACTGTGGTGACGGTGGTGACAATGGTGCCGTCAGGCATGATGGTCCGATCCAATTCAATCTTCTTAGTAGGTGTGATGCTGGGACGCGGGGTGGAGGGAGTGGATGTGCCCAGGTTCCGGGGGGAGCCCTCCTCGTACTGCAGCTGCCAAGGGGGGGGGGCGAGGGATCAGGGCCTCAGAGACTGCCCGTCCTATGTCCACCCATCTCCTCCCACGGATCAGCTTCTCACCTCTACTGCCATGGTGGCTGCGGGGCCCAGGACTTTCCCTGGCCCTGGAGTGAGTGGGCACACCTGTCTTCGAGACAGTGGTCTGGAGGGGGAGCCCACAGGCAGTGTGACTTGGCCAAGGAGCTCAGCTGAGGACAGGGATGGTTCAATGAGCCAGGGCCATGACCAAGCCCAGCACAGCACCACCCAGAGGCGTCCCTTGGTCCCACACTCACTGTCTCCACCACTACTGCTCCTTAGCATTTTGAGAGTTAGCTCCCGGCTCTGGGGGCCCAGATCCCTAAGGAACAAGAGCAAACGGAAATGTCAGGGGAAGCTCAGCAAACTAAATTCACCCTTGGGTCAATTACAGGCCAAAGGCAGAGAGATGTATTTAAATAAGGTAGCATCAGTGCTACCATCAGATTATCCTCCCCTCCGAATCTTTCCTCTTCCCAAAGGAAAGGTTGGGGCCCGAGTGAAAGTCACTCTCTGTAGCCAAGCATCAAATCCACCTGGTCCTGTTCCACAGTCTAGCCAGTCCTTCTCTCAGACTTAAGCCACCCTCTTTCATTTACTCAAGCTGTTCCCTCTGCCAGGAACATCTTCACACACTGCTAAAAGCCGACTTTTGCTCAAAGGTATGGCTTAAATGCCATCCCTTCTGAAAAGTCTTTTCGCATCCTTGCTCTGCTATGGGAATGGATCTCCCCTACCTAACCACTGTCATGGCGTGTTGTATCAACACTTGTGCCATCTTCCTACGGACCACCCAGGGGTAGGGTTGCACCATTAGGATCTACACCAGGGCATGGCATACAATAGAGGTCCACACCCAGGTCTGCTGAGAGCAGAGCTGGGCTGGGCTGGGTCTAAGGCTTCAGGAGTTTCTCTATCCCATCTGCCCACGTGAGCAGGGAACGGTGGGGTTGCGCTTACAGTGCCAGGTCTTCTGTCCATTCCACCTCAGGACCAGCCCTCGTGGGCTTGGTCCATTTCTGTTGCACGGGGTTGTCCAGTTCAGCTACACAGCACACTTCCTCAGTGCCTATAAGGAAACAAAAGGTACCATATGGGGGAGGGTGTTCAGCTTGGGGCCTTGTGGTTGTTAGGTAGGTATTCTACCATTTGAGCCACATGCTGGCCCAAGATTCAGACTTTAGAAGATGTTCAGAGAAAAGAAGGATGCCACTGAGAAATGCAATTGGCCGTGCTCTTGGCAGAGGGGCAGGGAATGCCTACAGGTAGTGCTAGCAGTCCCCAGCCACTTCTAGCTCTCACCTCCCAGCTGACTTCCCAGGTGAGATGCTCGAAGCTGCCGAAGGAATAACCGGGTAGGTCTGGGGATGGCTGGCTGGGCCAGGGGCACCATAGGTGACTTCTCACTAGGTACCTAAGAGCAGAAGGAGGCGATTAAAGAGCAATAACCCCGACATAGCATCCTGGGGATGGGGTACACACAAACCTTTCGATTTGGGTACCTACTCACCAGGCCTCCTGGGGCAGAGCAGGCTCTGAGGTTAACCATCATGGCTGGCTGGGTGCTTACTATGGTATCTTTGATCAGTTCCTCAATTGTTGAGAGCTCTACTTGCTCCTCACCTCTCTATAGAAAGGAGAAGCGATGGAGTCCCCTGTTCTGACCCCCTCCCTGTTTGGCTTCTTCTCAGGCCAGCCCCGCTGCCTTACCTCCCTGACCTGCAGCTTGGGAAGCACCTTTAGGCTGAGATCTGGGCGATCAGTGAAGACCCAGGACACAAGCAACCCCTCATCAGGGATTTCCTCCAGGCTGACTTCCAACTAGGGACAAAAGGATTGGATTGTTGCCTCATTCCTCTAATGACTCCCATCCCCCCCCCCCCCCCCTTCCCAAATTCCAGCGCAGAGAGGGACCAAACAGAAAACGCTTGGTCAACTGAACTGCGCCCCCCCCCCCCTCAACTCAGTTTCCCACGTTCTCCTCCACCTGTGTTGGTGGCAGTGTCAGAGTGACGTGGTAGGTCTCCATGGAGACGGCAGCAGGGGACTGCTGGGTCACAGAGACTGGGAAGCGCACCTCCTCGGCAGAGATCTGGCAGTGCAGCACCTAAGACAGGCATGTGTGGAGGATGTGCTTACCCAGCTTTGCCCTGCCCTGGGGTGCTTTAGTTGCCCTGCCCCACTGCAGCATCCCTTGGGACATGGCCTTTTTGGGACCAAAAGCCCCTCGATGAATAACCAGATAAAAGCCAAAGATTCAAAAATAAGACACACAGACACACACACACACAGACAGACAGACAGACAAGAGACACACACACACACACACACACACACACACACACACGGCCCATAACTTAAGTGGGATTTTCAGACTTCCTGAAGGCCAATCCTTAGATCCCCCAAGATGTTCACAGGTGTCCAGATTAAGAATCCTCAGGGTAAAGTAGGGACCCTTGGGATCAACCCTCCTCTTACCCCAAAGAAAACAGTGCCCATCAGACCCTTACCATGGTGCGCTCTGATTGGTCAATGCAGGTCACATGACTAATGTTGGCTCTGGGTGGGAATTGGGGCACCTCCTCAAAAGCAATTTGGATGGAGCTCTGAGGGAGTAATGAAGGCACAAAGTCAGGTCTCTGGAACTGCCCTCCCACCCAGGACTGGACTGCTTAGTTGCTGGCTGGGCCCTGGCACTGTGCAAGCCTTGGCTGCACGCTGGCTGGCTTTGACCCCTGTTTGGCTTTGGGACTAGGGGTGGCTGAAAACCGAAGGAATTAGGCCTCCTCAGACTAGATTGCCTTCAGCTGAAACCCCTGGAACCTTCCTGGCATACCTGCAGCCTTCCTCTTCTCTCTACCTTCCTCTTCGCTCCTTGCCTGCCCTAACCCCAGCCCTAGCCCCAAATAAAAGCATATAAAGAAAAAAAATAGCTATGAGTTGCCAACTCTATATAATAGCTGGGCAGAGGGGTACAGGGCCAACATAAAGGTGAAAAGAGTAGGATTGCTTATTCTGAGTTAAGGAAGTCTTCAGCAGACTTCCTCCAGATAAATTAGATGTGAAGAGGTAAAACTATGACTCTTTAAATTCTGGGAAGATGAGGCTGCTCAGCATGGCCTTGGGGAACTGCACCAGAGGTAGAGAAGAGGTAAGCTCAGAGGGCAAAAGGGTCCAGGGCCTGGTTAAGTCCTCAAGGCAGACAGCGGGGTGGTATTAGGAAGCAGAAAGCTGCTTAGCCTAGAACTCTAAAGAGCTGCTCCCTAATTCTTCCACAGCAGTGGAGAACAGAATGGGAAGAATTGAGGAGGGGGCACAGAATAGGCTAGAGACTCTTCTTCAAGTCTTCAGAGACAAAAACCAAACCCACAGGGCTCACTCATCTGCCTGGCAAAACAGGAGAAGCCAACGTCTGTGCTCTGGTAGCTGTCTTCTTCAAAGGCCAGGCCAAGGGGGAGAGAGGGAGATGGATGCTTAGAGCCTTCATCTCCTCTTCCCATGCAAGGGAGGCCAATGTCCAGCTGACTCAGCCACCCCAGGGAGTTGCTTCTGATCCAGGAACAAGGTGCAGGAAGAGCCAGGTGGAAGGGTAGGTTCAAGGTGTAAAGTGACAGACATCATCTGGCTTTCAGATAGCCAGCTGGGAAGAGGAAACAGAGCAGCTTCTTGGAGCCACTTCTGTTTCCAAGCATCTGGAGAATTAGTAGGGTAAAGATACCAAGCTCCTGGTAGCCAGAAATGGAGAAAACTCTGATCCAGGAACTGCTAGATGGTGAAGGCAAAGGAGAGAGCGGTAGGCCAGAATGGGAGGGGGCTTTCCACCCAAGTTCAGTCTCATGACCACGCTTCCTGCCCACTTCCTGGGAGGCCAGTAGTCCATGGTGCAATGGGAGGAAGTAGGCTGAGCTGGTTATGGCTGACCCTCAAGGGGCAGCTTCAAGTTCATTTACTGGAAAGGATATGGATTGACAACATGCTCTTTTCACTGAACACTTTCCCCTCGGACAAATTCATTGCAGGCCAGCACGGAAGGGAAGCAGGGACAGTGGAGGGGAAAGTACTGATGGATAGGAAAGCAATTCAGAATCCCAGGGCCACACTGGAAATCTGAGGGGTTTTGGGGGGGAGGGCATGAAACACTAACTGGGTGTGGTGGGATGAGGACCAGGCAAATTCCTTCTGCAGGTGCACCCGTTTCCCCTTGCCCAACCAGTACTCTGAAGAGGCGGAAGTGCCCTCAGGCACAGAGATTAGCGTTGCTATGAGAACAGTAACTTGCGCTCGGGTTGCAGCCTGAGTACCTCGTCCACAAAAATAGATTTGAGATATAACTGGATTTCTGCACACACATACACACACCCCCAGCCTCACCTGCTCCCTCTTCTCTGATTTGGGAGGGAAAGAAACCCCACAGGAGGGTCCCCAGTTAATCTCTAACCCCCCCCCGCCCCCAAGTCTCCTTCCAAGCTCCAGCAGTCCCTCCCCGCAAGGAAAACCTAAGGGACCAACTCGGAGGGTCAGGGCGACTCACCCCATCCCGGCAGGCCTGCTCGTTCAGGGCTCGAACCCAAGCCCTCTGCCAGTTCTCCCGGAAAGACTTGAAGGCAAAGAGTGACGCCAGGAGGCCCCGGACGCCGGGCTCCCCGGGGCCGCCCGCCCGAGTGGCCCGCAGCCGCAGCAGCGAGCGCCACACGCCGAGCTCGCGGAGCGAA